TTTTTTTGAAACAATTCAATTAATGCATCCAAGGTATTTGCAAAAATGAAAATGTGAAAAAGTGGCATTATCTGAAAAAGTCGCAGTATCTTAGTGGAGTAATTAATTAGATGTATACGTGTGTTTTTGAAAATTTAAATATACGAATTCAAACCTTATTTTAATCTTGCATTCAATTCATATTTGTTTGAATCAATTCAATTGATACATTTAAGATTTTTGCAAAAAATGAGAATGTGAAAAGTGAAAAAATTAGATATTTTTTCTTTCAATATCTGTTTTGGTATTACCAATTTTGGCCTATTTAGGGGTAATTTTATTCTTTCGTCTAGTGAGATTTTTGTTATTGTTTTGAAGTATTCACGACAAACTTGAAATACATATTTCGAATTTAAAAATCGATAAACGATGAGTTCTTAATAACAAGTCAAAAATACGCAAGAAATGAAGTTAATAGTTATGGTTTATTTTGCGTTCAATAATTCATGCAAAATAATTTTCGACATTTAAACTTCGTTCATAACATATTTATCATCTCTACATTGCAAGCTTTCTAAAAGATTTCAAATCGCTCAAAATGAATAATCGTAGCAGAAAATACAGTATCAAACGAAAACTTTTTAATAATAAAAAATTTTAAAAAGTGAAAAATATCATATAGGAAGGAAGTGCCGCAATTAGTCTTTTTAATGATTTTAGTGGACGTAATAATTACGGTTATTAAAATTTTAATTTAGTTTTAAGTGTATTAATCAATTTCTTTTTCTTTTTAGAGTATTGTGTCGAATTTCCTCTATCCGCTTAATACCTAAGGAAATCTAGTGCTTGTTCGTGCCCATTTCCCCTTCATTTTTAATCCTTGTTTGGTGCACATTTTGTAGTTAATAATGCATTTTTTTTTTTTATGTGATGGTGAATATGTAGTTCAAAAAGAAGAAAATGTTATTGATGTGATGAAAAATATTATTTTATTGAAAAATGTATGATTGAAAATGAATAGAAGAATAAGAATGAAAAAGATAATGCGGCTCAAACAGTGGGTTAGATCCTTGCATAGTAAATGGGCCTTTCAATTGTCTTCCACTTTGACACGTAAATGACAAGTACTTGTATGATAAGAATCTTTTAATCTCCACTTTATCCTTTTTACCCTCCAAGACTCCAACCATTTTTAATCAATTCCAAATTAATATGTGTTTGGAGGTTGGGGGGTTAAAGAGTAATGCTACGTAGTTTCACTGGGGTTGTAGTCCTACTGGGGTTGTAACCTCAATTTAGGTGACTCTAAATGATAGACTAAATTAAATGTGAAATTAAATGACTTATTTAATTTCACCTATCATTTAATACTAGATTAACACCACCTAAACTATGGTTGTAATCTCAGTGAGACTAAATAGCATTATTCGGGGTAAAAAGGTAAAATTTAAATTATATTATTCACTTGTCACATGCAGTTGTCCACAAATATGCACGAAACAGGCGCCTAGTCTTTACAGATTCCACTTTGCTTAATACCTAAGGAATTGGCTATTAATAACATGTCAAGGGCAATTTTGAAAAATGGAAGCTGTTTTGGAGAGGTGAATATTATTTGTTTATTCTATGCCAATGTTTGAGCCCCATTCTTTCTCATTTTTTTTTCATTTATTTTTTTACAGTACTCATTTCAAATCATACATTGTCCAAATAAAATAATATTACACACAAATCCAGAACTTTTCATCAATTTTCCAACACACCTTCTCCATTCATTTCCTATAAATTATTCACATACAGTAACAACAGGGTAAAATGGACTTTTGACTTTGCCAGCCCCGTTACTTTATGGAAATTTGCACAACAACAGCAGCTTGCCAGCTTTATATCTTTGCAAGTGGGGCCACCGAGAAAAGCACTAGTAATGGTGTCAAGTCAGAGGGTCAATACGTCCAACTAATTTCCAAGGGTCCAACAAAGGTAAATTAAAGTCGAACAAAGCAGGTTCAGCTTTTGCTTTTTTTATTAGCTTTATACTGTAAATTAATGAGAATTTTTTAATGAGAATTTTTTAATGAAAAAAACTCTTTAAAATGAGCTCCAAACGGGGACAGTTTCGTGAGCTAAACTGTTATCTTTCTTACTTCCTTGATTAAGTTCAGTCCGTTACGTCATCATATTATGTCGACGGAAAAGAAAAACATCAAGCCCACAATACCACTAAAACTTCTGGTTGACGAGAAGAAAACCCGAGTCCTCGCGGCGGAAGCCACCAGTGATTTCGTCAATGTTTTGCTCAGTTTCCTCACACTTCCACTGGGAACTGTGGTTCGTGTCACGAAAAACAATCCCGGTTCCATTGGCTGCATGAACAACTTGTAACAAAGCATTGGACAGCTTAGTGCGGACAATTTCTGCACAGAGGCGTGTAAATCAATACTGTTAAGACCAAGAAACCCCCATGCTCTTGTTTGCAAGAATCTTATACTGAATATTGATGATACAAGCAATGGGAAATGTTTTTATTGTAGTAGTTGTAAATCTTATTGGTGTAGGATGAGTTATTATCCTAACACGACGTGTATTTGTGGAGACATAGCCAACGAAGAGACGTCTGAAGGGTCTCAACCCTCGGATCCAGAATGTTTTGTTAAAAGAAGTACCATGTGTGTGATTACAGATGATCTGCAGGTGCTACCTGGAAATCCGATTTCTCTGGTGCAGGTGCTATGTAATTTGGGTTTCAGCGATGTCGATCAGGTTGAGGAGTTGTCTGTTGATGTTGGATTAGACGAGGTAATCTAATCTATTAACAAAAAGTAACCTTTTTATCTATATTTTTGTCATACGTAGCTCAATTTTGTTTTAAACTTTTTGCAAGGATACGTGTAATATGTGTGTAATGAAGTATACAAGTAGTTTATTTCACATTCTTGTCTATCATATTGAACACGTCTTTGAGCTTGTGTCTGGTTTTTCTCTAGTAAATGTCGGTTGATGTCTTATGGTATTAATCACAATTATGTGACTGGTCTTTCTCTGTGTTCTTTAAGGTTTCTAAGTTGCTTAAGCATTCTTTGGTATCGAAGACTCCTCTGACAGATGTATTCTTGGGCAAAAGGAAACTTGCAAATATTTCGATACCACCTGTGGATCCAAGAAGTTCACCTTCACCAAGCAGTGAAAATCGAACATTGCCAAATCATACTGAATTCCGGGTTAAGTTAATTTTAAGCAAGTCTCAAAACAAGATATTGGGTTTGTTAGCAAGGGAAGATTTTATCGATTTTCTCTTCAGCCTTTGTACAGTTCCGCTTGGATCAGTGGTAAAGCTTTTGGACTTGAACTCTGGATTAGGATGCATAGATAACTTGTACAGAACGGTAGAGTGTTTGGGCTCGGAGTGGCTTGCTATTTCCAAGAATGAAATAATAAATGCTGGAGTTCTGAAACAATACAAGTGCAAAAATCATCCATTGCAAATTCCTGATGCTAAAATCATACCGTACCTTCTCGACCCAAGGAGCCCAACTGGTTCCTATGATTTTGGAAGATTTATGGAGGCACCACGCTTGTATGTAGTGTCAGACAACTTGATAGTGACACCGGTATCTTCTCCGTCCAGTATTAGCTTCCTAAAAGAACTACATGTACCTCTCAATGATATTGAAGAGAAGGAAGAAACTTTACACGAAGCTGAGGTAAATTCTAGAGTCAGTTTTGTTTTGTGTAGTATGGGAGATTGTAGAGCAATTTCTTTCTCCTCTTCATACTCCTCGTATGAGAAATTGATGATTCGTGCTTCTGTAACAGGCTCTTGCTTTGTTGAAGGTTTTTTTAACTTCATCATCAGCTTTGAATAATTGCTTCAATTCAAATGGAAATCAGAAGTTCAACAAAAGGTATGACATCATATGGCTTGTTGTTTGGGGAATTAACACAAAACATCACTATTGTTTGCACTCATTGTGTAAATCATCCCTATCGATTTAAATTAGACATTTACAACCTTATTTCAACCTTTTTTTTTGCAAAGTTTGCCCTTTCTGTCCATTCCATTTGTTCCTTCCGCTAAGTGTGTGTTTGTGTCCCATTACTGTAGAAGAAATGGAGTAATGAATAGTATTTTTTGGAGAATGTGTGGTTGAAATTTAAAGTAACTTATTGGTTTGTGTGTAGAATATTTTATTGGGTGAATGTGAAAAATCTTACTGTAGCAAACATTTTTTTGGATTAATGGGAGACAAACGAGGCCTAAATATACACGTGGATTGCATTTAGATCATATCAAAAGGCTAATTTTGTCAAACCACTATTTTTCCTACTAAGGGCATGTTTGAGCTCCATTTTTTTTTTTATTTATAAATTGCATTTTGGAACAGTAGATTGAGGGAGAATGTGTGTTTAAAAATTAAGGAATTTTTTTTTTATTTACATGTAATATTATTTTATTGAATAATGTGTGATTAAAAAAAAGTGAGTAAAAAATGTATTTTGGAAAAATGGGGGATTAAACAAGGGCTAAGTAAACGTGAATGCCGGCAAACAGAATCCTATTGCACAAAAGGTGAGATGAGAGAAAATCCCCAATTTCTTTAATACCTTATTCATATAGAAATAAAATATCCATGATTCAGACTTTACCAAGAGGAGGCACTGGAACAGTTAGATAATTTTTTTTTTATTTTTTTCCCCTTTTGATAAGGGCTTGTAATTGCATACACGTAATTATGTAGCAGAAAATACATTGGTAATTGAATATCATTACCATGTTTACAGGTACACTTCCAGGAAGGGACTAGATGTGATATGTTTTTGAACAACCTATGCGAATCTTTCAACAGTACATTACTCAATGTTAGACCATACATGTGCTACCAGCATAGCACCTGTAAAAGATCTGTAAACAATTCCCCTGTACAAGGGGGGAATTGTCTGAGTTATGCTAAATTCATATAGAACAACACTTGACAATTTTTCATTGGTTTTTGGCACAACAAACACAGAAAATGCATTATACAAGTGCTGCCAACGCAACACCTGTATCATTTCTATGATTATTTCTCTGTACGCAGGGAATTATTCGAAGTGTCTTGTTGTTTTTTGTTGTTGTTGTTAGGGAGTGACAAGGTTGTTCTTATGCTAATGGGTTAGGTTTCTCAATTGATGGTGTTGAATGCCCAAAAAGGTTTAGTCTTGCCTAATTGGACACCTACTGGTTTTTAGATGATATAGTTAAAATTTTAATCTAACAATTGACTACAGAATTAAGGGTTGTATGGATTCGAGTCACAACAGTATCATGTTGTGGGAGATATTGTTGGTAAGCAACAAATTTGCTCTTAAGTCCATTCGGTTCAATGCCCTGAAAGATTTAGTCCAACCTCATATTAAACCAACTGATTTTTAGATGAGATAATTGTAATTTGATTTTAATCCCTGCGTTGTTATATTTGTTCAGTGTAAATATTGTCTTGCATTATTAAAATCATAATATGAAGTCTTTATTATACTGTGGTAATAGTATTTATCTTCTTTTGTAGTGATGTGGCTGGGAAATAGCTTTGGAGCAAACAGGGATGCCTTGCCGTTTTTTCAGTGAACTCAAGAATAGAGTTTAGGATTGCTTTTGGTTCTTTGTTGTTTTGTCCTCTGGTTTAGAGAATTCACTCAGTTTTTGAAAGAATTATCTGATGTTGGAGCGATGTTTTTTAAGTTTTCCGCATGTGTCAATGTATGTTTAAGCTCATTTCTCCAAAATTTAATTATCGAAGAAACTTTCTTTCGTATGTATAATTCTTGGTGGAAGAAGTGGTATTTTAAAATTATAACTTTAAATCTGTAAAATAATTGAACTTCATCGGTAAGATGCAAATTGAGGATAAAAAGATTCATCTGAGGAAATTATTACCACCTTCAAGGCCTGTCATGCCAGTGCCCCCTTTTCCTGGAAAGATTCTAAATCATACATGAGAACTATAACCTGATATTAACTAAGCCAAAATCTTCGACCGGCCTTGCCTTCAGAACCAGTTTCCTTGGCAAGCTTTTGACTCACTCGGTGGCCTGCAGCCAAACTCAGGTCAGTTATTCTCCAAAGAACCAAAAATTATATTTGAATATCAATTTCCTGTGAATCCCCGTCAACCATGTGATTATGCAATGCCAATGTAATGATATATTTACCTATTTAAAGCATTGATTTGCCCTTTTACTTGGCCTCGTAATAATTTATTTACCTGTTCGTGTGGGTGCATATATACAGTTAAGTGGATGAATGTTGACAAATTTGGTTAATAGTTCTCAAGTTCCGGCCTTGAAGCAAAATACTTTTCTAGCTGGTTTTCTTTTTCAAATCAATAGAAAGTTGCAAGTGGGTCCTACTCGGAGTAGGGTGGGGAGTGGGAGTAGGGTACGAGGACGATGTTTGAAAATTGGAGAGACAGGCATTCCATTCCTTTAAATGTCTCATTTCTTTCTTCAACGATTCTATAATCACCATTCAAATTATGAAAAATCGAACATCGAGTCATTCAAAATGTAACACCTCATTATCGCATAAAACACATATTCACTTTGTTTCTCTTACCAGCTCGAACGTCAAGATGTCATGATTTGAGTGACTCGAATTCTAAAGTGTCGTAATTTAAGTAAACGATTCTATAATGTGTGTACGTATGAATGTCCAATTGAAGCATTTCTCATGGATGATGACCTCATTTCACAAAAACGGATAATCACTTATACCCTAGATAAATAAAATTTGGACGATCTGAAATTTTGAATTTCGAGTAATGGTCTGCTCTTGACAATTCTTTGGACGATTAGATATGTCTTTCGGAAAGTTTAACCAGTAAAGTAAAACTTTAATCCTTAATTTAAATATGTATATAAGACGATCCACAACTTTTATCAATTTTTAACTATAAATTTTTTCAACTTTTATTAAAATTTACTAAGAATCTGACTTTTAGCTAAATCGCTAAGGGTCCGTTTGATTGCAAGAATGAAATTTGAGTGAAAAAAAATGAATTCTATGGAATTCAATTGCCTAAAACTTGTTTTACTGAAAATTGTCAATTAATTGTGTTTGATTGGTATAATTTTTCACTTGGAAAATATTGATTGTTTAGTGTCCATTTGTCTTCTTTTTCATGAAAATTATCCATTAAAGTTTTTGAAAAATGTTTCCTATCAAACACTTTAAAAAGTGGAAAATGGCAAAAAGTTTTCCATCTTCCATGGAAAACTTGGCCTATCAAACGGGGCCTAAAACTCTTTTTTATGTATTAGTTGAAAATTGAGAATGCCTTCTAGAAAAAAATTGAACAAAGAGCAACTGTCAAGGCTTTCAACAGCATACATCCCAAAGAGAGAGTAACCAACATACATGATTGAAAGAAATTATTTGGGTGAGAGTAAAATATCGCATTTGACTTACATTTTTCATATAATTTTTTACTGTATAAAACTAAACAAGATATATTCGTTTAACGCTATCAAGAATAAAGACTGGAAGCACACAACTATAATGGAACGGCAGACTGCTGATTAACTTGAAAGATGCTTCATGTTATGCCTTTTCTTCGTTGCTGTTTTCATTTTCATTTTCTGTGATACTTGCCTCTGTTTTGATTTCCTGTGATGAGTCGATCAAGCTGGCAGCTATTGCAGCTTTTAAATCCTCGTCTTCATTGTCTGACAATATTTCTGGTTGTCCATGCTGCAGATAGGGATCAGAAAGATTCACCCCTGGACTTGATCTCGAAGCCGAGTTGCAAGACTTGGTAATCCTCTCGGCGTCTTCAGGTGACAACCACTGCCCATAACCATTGGAAGATTTGGAGAATGTGATGGGGCACTCCTTTGGGAATTTTCCCTTCACCAAGAAAATGCTCCAACCAAAGCCTTTCAAAGAGTCGAGGTAGGCTAAAAGGTAAAACTTGGAGAGGTGTTCAGGTGCTGCATAGAGACTGTCAAAATCATACCACTCTCCATTTACTTTCCTTATACAAAACCAATGGTCCCGCAAATGACAAATAAATGCATTCTCCAATTCTGGGTCGATCTGAGCAGGCTCCGAAACAGGGCTGTTAAGGGGAATGACTTGCAAGTCCCACACCTCCAAAGCCTTTTCCAATACCTGCAATCCAAATTTTAAAGTTTCAAAAGGTCCTCCAGAGACATTTACTAAATCGACCGCGCTATGGTGATAGAAGCAAACTAACATGTTCCTTAACAGGGTGACGGGAAGGGGAAAAAAAAAGACTACAAACCGGCCCATTACCACACTCTCTTCCCCCAAATTTTAAACCCGTTAAACCTATACCATTTTCCCCCAAAATCACTGAAACCCTTGAGTGGCGATTTGAAGCGATCATCTTTCCAGCGCGACATCTTCCACATTCTCCATCTTCACCAGAGAAACCGTCGACGGCAATTGAGTACAAGGTCTCCATAGCTTCAATCTTCCATGTGTGAGTTGTTTGCCCGCGTTTTATTCCTCTAAAGCAACCAGCAACCATAATCTCCAGCAGGTTCTGCAGCGAAGGGAAACTAGGTATGAGATGAATTGAACTTCAGGGTTGATGTATTTGCAAGACCCCTCCTCGAATTCAATTTTGTGCCCTATCACACATGAAGTTTGGTTCGACAGATTTAGTTTTCAAATTCGACACTTCTCAATTTGTTTTTTTCTTCACTGCAGAAACTGGGGAAAGATGACGGCTGTGCTAGTGGGATATTGTGGTCTAAGTGGATAGTAATTAGTATAACCGATTTTGTTTTCAAATTTGACACTTATCAATTTGTTTTTTCCTTCAATGTGGATTGACACCAAGAACAAACGGCGATTATTCAATTTTTGTAGCTCAAAATGCGGATTTTGGGATTGGGTGAACGAGGGTAAAAGTAGCGGTGAATCAAATTCAGTTAGCTGCATTTGCAAGTTCAAGAGTATTTTCTCTCTTCTTTGATTAGTATTTGCCTGTAAATTTCATTAACCATGAAAAAAAAAGTATCTAAATGAATCAACAAAACAAAATATTAATGTCTGCATAATCAATATGAAATTGGAGTACATCAGAACAGGAATAATGTCTGCTTGTGAGCAAATTATAAGGTCATATTGACCAGCTGATCATAATTTAAGACTAATCAACATACAGTAGCTTAGTTCTAACTAAAAGGTAGTTTTTGCTCTTCCCTCGAGTGTTCCATTTCTGCATTAACCAAGCATTCATATAGTTGCACTGAAGAGCAGATCACTGGTAAGGCTGTGGATTGAATACGAATTCATATGTTTGCAGCATTCCTGTAGCCATGTCAAGCATTAATATGCAAAATTGCAGAGATGATGAGAGTGAAAACACATCGGATGTAACCTAATTACCTTGAGCATTCACTATAACGTTTCTCGTCGTATTCGTCCTTAAACTTCATCCCCACCTCAGGCACCATCACACCCCCTCCTCCTAATATTTCCTCATCCGATAACTTCATATTGTCGATAATATTGTCGTTATACAAATCCACAAATGTAAAGTCATCCTCAACTTCCAAAATCTCTTTCCGTGCGACAAATGAGAACATTGACACGGAATTATAATGAAAATGAGAGCAATCACACAAAATTACAATCTTTTTTATTAGTATAAATATGGGCAAATCGATTCCAATTAATTCTCAAAAAGCTGAAAATCAGTTCCATCCCGCTGGTATATTACATTTCAGCTCCTATTCCACTAAAAGGTTGTTCCCCAATAGTAAAAATTGAGTAAATGGATTCCATTAATTTTCAAAATTAGAAAATTACATTTCGACTGCTGGAACTCAATTTAAAATTCAACCGTCGAAACTCGCCTTTTCCGTCATCCCCTCCACTGTTATAGAGTGTTTACCTCCTTTCTGCCCGATGTCAAAACTCGTACAGTTAGGTCAAACAATATGGGTTCAATTTTGGGCTACAGGGTTGAAGAAATTTTCGGCAAAAGGAGCAGAAGTGTAGTTGAAGAAGAGTGAAGGAATTTTCAGCAAAATGAGCGGCAGTCAAAACAAGCGGCAGTGTAGTTGAAAGAGGTTTTGAAATGCGCCTAAATGAATTGTAAATGGGCCAACCCGGTAATGACCATTTTCTGTTTCTTTTCATTTTTTCCTTTATTCCCTATTTCCACGTCATTATGTCCTCCACAGTCCACCATGTCAACTGCTATGTTACATTAGCATTATTCTTGCTAAATTTACCTAAGAACAAACAGATGACTTTTGAGGGTCCTAGGAGGCGGGGGCAAACACTACAAAAGCTTTTATATGATAAAGTGCCAAAAGTAAATCCTTGATTCCTTGAAACTTTATATTTCCTCAATAGAACAAGTTCTCTGTGCTATCCATTGGTACACTAAGGGCGTGTTTAAGCCCCATTTTTGGTGTATAATGCATTTTGGAATAGTAAATTATATAGTTAAAAAATAAGGAAAAATTTTGGATTTGTGAATAATATTATTTTATTGAAAAATGTGTGATTGAAAAGAAGATAGAAAAATGTATTTTAGAAAAAATGAGGATCAAACAAGAGCTAAATAAAGCATCAATAACCGTACTTTACATCGACAAGCAACGAAGCAGTGTTTGATAAAATTAAGGCATTTGGTGGAGATAAGAAATATGATCTAAGACTCCTCATAACTCAAAGAGAATACACATCGACCATCGTAATCCCGCATCAGTATTCTTTCGTAAAGATAAACTCGTCTCTCAATCCAATCACCTTCTATCTTCCACTCCAAATTGACCCATTGTTTTACTTAATTGAGACCAACATCACCATGAACTAATCACGAATGACTAGCCCGAGTTAATGAACCCATCCTCTCTCTTTTTATTACTTGTGTTTATTATAGGATTTTGCTTAGGACTACGTTGGCTTTTTCCAAATGGAAATGTGAATTTTGAAATCAAGGGTAGCCAAATTTTTCATTGGTTTAATATATTCTCTACGTTTGTATATTTTTAGGCTCTTTAGAAGTTAATAGAATACTTGTGGACAATCTTACTCTTTAGAAATCATAGAATACTATTCTTGTACACCTGTCATTAGGAATCTATATGATGAGAGGAGACAGAAAATTTGGACTCGAACATAACTCAAATTGTTATTATATATTTACTTAATAGTGAAATCATTAATTCCAATACTTTTGTCATGTCTCCAAACTCAAAATTCTTAACTTCGTCACCTTGTATAATATTTTAAAAGGCTAAAATTTTTAAAATCATGTTCGGGCAAATCAATCCAATTACTAGGCAGAAAATCATAGCGAAAGCATTGTTAGGTTAAGTCGAGTAATGCTATTTATCATTACTGACATTACAATATTCGTCTAGGTGTTGCTAAGTAACAGTAAATGATATATACGATTAAATGAGTTACATAATTCTACTTTTAAGTGAATACATTGCATAATATCATCAAAATTGGTGTCGTAGTATCGATGATGTTAAATAGTACTATATGATGAGATAGTGAGAGTAGCGAGTTAGTCAATAGTCGCATATCATCAGTGGGCTCTACACCAATCATGAATGCGTTTGCTAGGCGCCAAACAACCACATGTTTCATAGTTCTCACATATTTTCAACCACACATTTCAAAAACTTTTATCACAATACACTAAAAATCTAATTTTAATCCCCATCAAACACCCTCATTAATTAAGTTCTTCTCTATTAAATACAATTATTACTAATTATTAATATTATTGCTTTTAAAAATAAAATAATAGTACTATAAGCATATTGTTAACCTTCAAAGCATTATCATACGCAATGAAAAGTGTATAAACGTTTGAAATCATTATTATACAATTAAAAATTTATTATTATGTACAATAAAAAGGTTTTGGCATTGATTTTTTTTTTTTTTTCAATCCATGTCTTGAAGTACGAGTTTAGCCATATAGCTTGACTTCTTGTCATTGTTGTTGCAATATATTTTACTTCAGCTGATGATAATGCAATCATTGCTTTTTTTTGTGACATCTAAGAAAATATTCATAAATTTAATGTAAATGCATAGTCCGATGTGTTTTTCAAATCGTCCACTGATTCTGCCCAGTCACTATCCGTATTTTTAGAGATTGTGTGGTTAAAAAATAGGAAAAGATTTTGAATTTGTGTAAATTATTTTATTTAAAAAATGTGTAGTTGAAAATGAGTTTTTAGATAATGGAGGTCAAACGAGGACTCAATATGATGGTGGAAGTATTCGAGATAATTCCTATTTTTCTATTATCTTATTAATTAATTTTGCTTAATACCTAAGGCCGGCTTGGGAGTTTTTTTCATTGATTTTGAATGGTACCGTTTATGAAGGGTTAAAAAAATCGGTGCTTGCTAATTTTTTTTTTTTTTTGTATCAATTTTGAGTGATTTAAAAACCACTAAAAATTGATATAGTGTAATTTTGACCGATTCTCTCAACCCATCAAATCGACGGGTTTTGACCATTTCTCATATTCTATTCTAATTTTACTCTTTATAAAATAATTATTTACAACCAACATATTTGCTTCATAACTAACTTATAAATAAAAATATATTAATTAAAAATTATTTATAGGCAAAAAGTTTAAATTATTATTAAAAAATACTTATATGTAAAATATTACTTATAAGATAAGAAAAATTACATTATAATTAAAATTACTTATAAGTAAAAAATACTTTTATGTAAAAGAAATTGTTTTTAAATAAAAATTTCACTAATAAGACAAAATTTCACTTATAAAATATAAAAAATTACTTTTAAGTAGAAAATTCACTTAAAATTATAAAAGTATAAAATTAACTTATAATTATAAAATTCACTTATAAGTAAAAATTATTAACTTAAAATTTTAAGTAAATATTTAATTTAATTTAATTTTTAAGTTTAATATTAATTTATATGTAAAAAATTATTTATAAATAAAATATCACTTATAAGTAAAAATATTTCATATAAGAAACTATAATCTGAATTTTTTTTACTAATGGACATATATGTAATATTGTTCTTTTAAAAAACTTTCAAAATCAATGGATGATACACTCTGGAGCATGGGTTCGACATTTTTAAGAATAGCTACTATTCACTCAAAAACTCTCAAAATTGATACTTTAAAAAATACTCATAACTGATACGTCGAAACTCCCAAACAGACCCTAAGGAAATCTTTGCTCAAAGCATGTTTGATCAAACAGATCCTTAATACCTAAAAATCAAATAAATTTCCATCAAATTAACATTTAAAAATGTATTTTGATGAAGGAATGTGATCAAACAGATCCTTAATACCTAAGCAAATCTAGTTAATTTTAGAGATTTCTCCTAGAAGAAATGTGCCAACATTATTGATCAGATTCCACTTTGCTTAATACCTAAGGAAATCTAGTGCTTGAAAAAAATTGATAAAGCTGCTATTGGTGTGCAACTTTCCATAAAATAACGGGGCTGGCAAAGGCAAAAGTCCATTTTACCCTGTTGTTACTGCATGTGAATAATTTATAGAAAATGAATGGAGGGCAAAATAGATAATTGCTCCCAAAAATAAATAATAAGTACAGTGATTCATCAGACATTATAGAATAAACAAATAATATTCACCTCTCCAAAACAACTACCATTTTTCAAAATTGCCCTTGACATGTTATTAATAGGTAATGCCGTAATGGTGTCAAGTCTGAGGGTAAATACGTCCAACTAATTTCCAATGTCCAACAAAGGCAAATTAAACTCGAACAAAGCAGGTTCAACTTTTGCTTTTTTTATTAGCTTTTTACTGTAAATTAATGAGATTTTGTTTAAAAAAAAACTCTTTAAAATGAGCTCCAAACGGGGCAGTTTCGAGAGCTAAACTGTTATCTTTCTTAAGTTCAGTCTGTTTCATCATCATATTATGTCGACAGAAAAGAAAAACATCAAACCCATAGTCTCTCTAAAACTTCTGGTAGACGAGAAGAAAACCCGAGTCCTCGCGGCGGAAGCCGCCAGTGATTTCGTCAATGTTTTGCTCAGTTTCCTCACACTTCCACTGGGAACTGTTGTTCGTGTCACGAAAAACCATCCCGGTTCCATTGGCTGCATGAACAACTTGTACCAAAGCATTGGACAGCTTAGTGCGGACAATTTCTGCACAGAGGCGTGTAAATCAATACTGTTAAGACCAAGAAACCCCCATGCTCTTGTTTGCAAGAATCTTATACTGAATATTGATGATACAAGCAATGGGAAATGTTTTTATTGTAGTAGTTGTAAATCTTATTGGTGTAGGATGAGTTATTATCCTAACACGACGTGTATTTGTGGAGACATAGCCAACGAAGAGACGTCTGAAGGGTCTCAACCCTCGGATCCAGAATGTTTTGTTAAAAGAAGTACCATGTGTGTGATTACAGATGATCTGCAGGTGCTACCTGGAAATCCGATTTCTCTGGTGCAGGTGCTATGTAATTTGGGTTTCAGCGATGTCGATCAGGTTGAGGAGTTGTCCGTTGATGTTGGATTAGACGAGGTAATCTAATCTATTAACAAAAAGTAACCTTTTTATCTATATTTTTGTCGTACGTAGCTCAATTTTGTTTTAAACTTTTTGCAAGGATACGTGTAATATGTGTGTAATGAAGTATACAAGTAGTTTATTTCACATTCTTGTCTATCATATTGAACACGTCTTTGAGCTTGTGTCTGGTTTTTCTCTAGTAAATATCGGTTGATGTCTTATGGTATTAATCACAATTATGTGACTGGTCTTTCTCTGTGTTCTTTAAGGTTTCTAAGTTGCTTAAGCATTCTTTGGTATCGAAGACTCCTCTGACAGATGTATTCTTGGGGAAAAGGAAACTTGCAAATATTTCGATACCTGTGGATCCAAGAAATTCACCTTCACCAAGCAGTGAAAATCGAACATTGCCGAATCAAACTGAATTCCGGGTTAAGTTAATTTTAAGCAAGTCGCAAAACAAGATATTGGGTTTGTTAGCAGGGGAAGATTTTATCGATTTTCTCTTCAGCTTTTGTACAGTTCCGCTTGGATCAGTGGTAAAGCTTTTGGACTTGAACTCTGGATTAGGATGCATAGAGAACTTGTACAGAACGATAGAGTGTTTGGACTCGAAGTGGCTTGCTATTTCCAAGAATGAAATAATAAATGCTGGAGTTCTGAAACAATACAAGTGCAAAAAACATCCATTGCAAATTCCTGATGCTAAAAACATACCGTACCTTCTCGACCCAAGGAGCCCAACTCGCCCAACAAATTCCGATGATTGCTTTGGTAGATATATGGAGGCACCACGCATGTATGTAGTGTCGGACAACTTGATAGTGACGCCATTATCTTCTCCGTCGAGTATTATTGGCTTTCTAAAAGAACTAAATGTACCTCTCAGTGATATTGAAGAGAAGGAAGAAACTATACGCGAGACTGAGGTAAATTCTAGAGTCAGTTTTGTTTTGTGTAGTATGGGAGACTGGAGAGCAATGTCTTTCTCCTCTTCATACTCATTGGATGAGAAATTGATGGCTCGTGCTTCTGTAACAGGCTCTTGCTTTGTTGAAAGCTTCTTTAACTTCATCATCAGCTTTAGATGATTGCTTCAAGTCAAGTGGAAATCAGAAGTTCAACGAAAGGTATGACATCATATGCATATGGCTGTTGTTTGGGTAATTAGCACATAACATCACTTTTGTTTGCACTCATTGTGCAAATCATCCGTTTCGATTTAAATTTGACATTTACAACCTTATTTCAACCTTTTGCAAAGTTGGTCCTTTCTGTCCATTCCGTTCGTTCCTTCCGTTAAATGTACACGTGGATTGCATTTAGATCATATCAAAAGACTAATTTTGTCAAACCACTATTTTTCCTACCAAGGGCTTTTTTTTTTGGTATAAAATGCATTTTGGAATAGTAGATTGATGGAGAATGTGTGGTTGAAAATTAAGGAATTTTTTTATTTATGTGGTAATATTATTTTATTGAATAATGTGTGATTAAAAAGAAGTGAGGAAAAAATGTATTTTGGAAAAATGGGGATGAGACAAGGGCTAAGTAAATGTGAAGGCTGGCAAACAGAATCCTATTGCAAAAAAAGGTGAGTTGAGACAAATCCCCAATTTCTTTGTTTTCCCTGCGAAGAACCCTCGTCCACTACCTGATTGCACTCAATTCTACTACTCCACTTAAGTTATAAATATGCAATACTCGTAATTTCACATATTTTCTATGGAGTTCTCTGAGATTTATGCTTGAATTCATATGGANCACTCCATTCTACTACTCCACTTAAGTTATAAATATGCAATACTCGTGATTTCACATATTTTCTATGGAGTTCTCTGAGATTTATGCTTGAATTCATATGGAATGATAGGTATTTCAGTCAAGTTTATTCCATCTAAAATCGATGGCTCAATTGATGGTGTTGAATGCCCAAAAAGGTTTAGTCTTGCCTGATTAGACACCAACTGGTTTTTAGATGATATAGTCAAAACTTTAATCTATCGAGTGACTTCAGAATTAAGGGTTGTATGGATTCAACAAATTTGCTCTTAAGTCCATCGGTTGGTCTCATATGATCGTGGTTCAATGCCTTGAAAGATTTAGTCTAACCTCCTATTAAACCAACTGATTTTTAGATGAGATAGTTGTTATTTGATTTTAACAATTGTCTTTACGTTGTTACATTTGTTCAGCGTAAATATTGTCTTGCATTATTAAAATCATAATATGAAGTATTTATTATATTGTGGTAATAGTATTTATCTTCTTTTGTAGTGATGTGGCTGGGAAATAGCTTTGGAGCAAACAGGGATGCCTTGCCGTGTTTTCAGTGAACTCAAGATTAGAGTATAGGATTGCTTTTGGCTCTCTGTTTTTCGTTCAGTTTTTAAAAGAATTATCTGATGTTGGAGCGATGTTTTTTAAGTTTTCCGCATGTGTCAATGTATGTTTAAACTCATTTCTCCATAATTTAATTATCGAAGAAACTTTATTCCCTATGTATAATTCTTGGTGGAAGAAATGGTATTTTAAAATTATAAGTACCTTAAATCTGTAAAATAATTGAATTTAAACGGTAAGATGCAAATTGAGGATGAAAAGATTCATCTGAGGAAACTACCACCACCTCCAAGGCCTGTCAATGCCAGTGCCACCTTTTCTTGGAAAGATCCTAAATCATACATAAGAACTACAACCTGATATTAACTAAGCCAAAATTTTCGACAGGCCTGCCCTTCAGAACCAGTTTCCTTGGCAAGCTTTTTGACTCATTCGGTGGCCTGCAGCCAAACCCAGGTCAATATTTCTCCAAAGAACCAAAAATTATATTTGAATATCCATTTCCAATGAATCCCCGTCAACCCTGTGATTATGCAATGCCAATCATAATGATTTATTTACCTGTTTAAAGCATTGAATTTGCCCTTTTACTTGGCCTCGTAATGATTTATTTATCTGTTCGTGTGGGTTCATATACACAGTTAAGTGGATGAATGTTGACAAGTTTGGTTAATAGATCTCAAGTTCCAGCCTTAAAGCATGAAAATACTTTTCTTTTTCAAATCAAAAGAAAGTTGCAAGTGGGTCCTACTTGGAGTAGGGTGGGGAGGTGGGGGTAGGGTACGAGGACGATGTTTGAAAATTGGAGAGACAGGCATCCATTCCTTCAAAATGTAACACCTCATTATCGCATAAAACACATATCCACTTTGTTTCTCCTACCAACTCGAACGTTAAGATATCATGATTTGAGTGACTCGAGTTCTAAAGTATCGTAATTTAAGTAAATGATTCTATAATGTGTGCACGTAATGTCCAATTGAAGCATTTCTCGTGGCTGATGACCTCATTTCACATAAACGGATAATCACTTATACCCTAGATAAATAAAAGTTGGACGATCTGAAATTTTGAATTTCGAGTAATGGTCTACTTTTGATAATTCTTTGGACGACTAGATATGTCTTTCAGAAAGTTTAACCATTAAAGTAAAACTTTAATCCTTAATTTAAATATGTATATAAGACGATCCACAACTTTTATCAATTTTTAACTATAATTTTTTTTAACTTTTATTAAAATTTACTAAAAATCTGACTTTTAACCAAATCGCTAAGGGTTCATTTGATTGCGAGAATGGAATTTGGGTGGAAAGAAAATGAATTCTAAGAAATTGAATTGTCTAGAATTTGTTTTATAGAGAATTGTCAATTAATTGTGTTTGATTGATATAATTTTCCATCTGAAAAATATTGAAATTTTGGATCTTTTGATGTTCGTTTGGATTTATTTTTCATGAAAATTATCCATTAAAAGGATATAAGTTGTTACAATTAGGAATATGATTTGTTTCCATTGTCAAAAAAAAAAGTTAACTAAAAAAATCAATTCCCACCAAAGTGGTGGGAATTAATTTACCTCAAAAAGGAAGAAAATGTGGCAAACCAAGAAAATGTGGAAAACCAATTATCTGAAAAATGTTTTCTATCAAACACTTTAAAAAATGGAACATTACAAAAAAAAATTCATCATCCATGAAAAACTTGCCCTATCAAACAGGGCCTAAAACTCTTTTCTATGTATTAGTTGAAAATTCAAAATGCCTTCCAGAAAAAATTGAACAAAGAGCAACTGTCAAGGCTTTCAACAGCATACATCCCAAAGAGAGTACCTACCAATACATGATTGAAAGAAATTATTTGGGCGAGGGTAAAATATCGCATTTGACTTACATTTTTCATATAATTTTTTACTGTATAAAACTAAACAGGATATATTTGTTTAACAATATCAAGATTAAAGACAGGAAGCACACAACTATACCGGAACGGCACACTGCTGATTAACTTGAAAGATGCTTCCTATCATGCCTTTTCTTCGTTGCTATTTTTATTTTCATTTTCTGTGATACTTGCCTCTATTTTGATTTCCTGCGATGAGTCAATCAAGCTGGCAGCTATTGCAGCTTTTAAATCCTCGTCTTCATTGTCTGACAATATTTCTGGTTGTCCATGCTGCAGATAGGGATCAGAAGGGTGCGCCCCTGGACTTGATCTCGAAGCCGAGTTGCAAGACTTGGTAATCCTCTCAGCGTCTTCAGGTGACAACCACTGCCCATAACCATTGGAGGCTTCGGAGAATGTGATGGGGCACTCCTTTGGGAAATTTCCCTTCACCAAGAAAATGCTCCAGCCAAAGCCTTTCAAAGAGTCGAGGTAGGCTGAAAGGTAAAACTTGGAGAGGTGCTCGGGTGCTGCATAGAGGCTGTCAAAATTATACCACTCTCCATTTACTTTCCTTATACAAAACCAATGGTCCCGCAAATGACAAATAAATGCATTCTCCAATTCTGGGTCGATCTGAGCAGGTTCTGCAACAGGGCTGTTAAGGGGAATGACTTGCAAGTCCCACACCTCCAAAGCCTTTTCCAATACCTACAATCCAAATTTTAAAGTTACAAAAGGTCCTCCAGAGACATCTGCTAAATTTACCTAAGAACAAGCAGATGACTTTGAGGGTCCCAGGCACAACAAAAGCTTTTATATGAAAAAGTGCCAAAAGTAAATCGTTGAAACTTTATATTTCCTCAATAGAACAAGTTATCTGTGCTATCCATTAGTACACTAAGGGCCTGTTTGAACCCCATTTTTGGTGTATAATGCATTTTGTAATAGTAGGTAGATGGAAAATGTTCGGTTAAAAAATCAGAGAAATTTTTTGATTTGCGAGTAATATTATTTTATTGAAGAATGTGTGGTTGAAAAAAAGAAAGAAAAAAATGTATTTTAGAAAAAATGGAAATCAAACAAGGGCTAAATAAGTATATCAAGCAGCTTCAGCAACACCAATTGACTCTATATTCATAAACTACTTTTGCTTCACCGTGCATCATGGCGTAGCCCACAAAAAGGTCACATGGCAGGGACTGGAGTGGGGGGGATTACATGTCAGTTTGATTATGAAGGAATCTTAGAAATGTCAACTAATATCTAGTAATATAGCCACCAGTCTGATAAATGATTTCAAAGGATATGTTGTGATTAACCTGGTAGTTGTTTGAAATAAAAGTAAATAGAAACTGATAATAAAAACATAAACATCTCAACCCCTGCATGGTTGAGCTCAATTTGCACTGTATGGGAAGACTAAAATTTTCAAGTGATACTAGATTTGTTTCAAGGAAAAAAGAGAGTTAAGAAAATGTTTCCTGTGTTTCATGCATATATTAGTACAGAGAGAAGGAAATAAATAAAATGCATCCTTCATAGGAAATTGCCCCAGTTTATTGCACTCTAAGATGAAGTGATCCACGATACTATATTGAACAATAAACTCTCAAGGATATGGTGGTACCAACTAATGTTATATTGTTCGTATCTTCTAAAAGGGTAATACTTCAACCAATAATAAACAAGGAAACAAGCAACAATTATCATTCTCAATGTGTGTGTATATCTTATAGATTGTTTAACAGTAAAACATGACAATTAAAACTAAGCCCTATTTGGTAAAGATTAAAATCAAATTTTTAGCAGATTTTGATAAAAATTAATGAATGTATGGTTGAAAAACTGTAGGTGCCGTTAAATATGTGGTTAAATTAATTGTTGACTTTGACTTTGATAAAAAATCTAGATTATAATTTCAATCAAACGGGGGCTAACTAAAATATTTTCAGAAAAACCATTTATAGTCTACCTCAACAAGATCGTGTCCTTTGTTTCATCGTAGTCCATGGGGCTGAGCAAGTGTGAATATGTAGGCACTATTAGGGAGTAGACCACAACCACCCCATCCACAGGTGCACACAGAGAGAAAAAATATTCCAATCTCTACAATTTAGGAAAATGCCCATTCTTCTGCCAAATTATCATGCTTCTGAGCTCAGTTTTTTGCTTCATTATTTCACCTCCTCATATTGCTTTCACAATTAAATGTCCATCAAATAATTTAACTCAGCTTAACAACAGATTACCTGAGCTCGTGAAGAACTTTCAAACAGCAATGGTTTAATTGCAATAAAATTCCTTTTGATTCTCTATCCCCCTCCAACTCCTCTCTTGGCTTCTTATATCAATCTCTCTCTATTTAGATCTTATCCAGTATTTTCAATACATTTCCCTCTTTTTAGGTCCTTTGCATGCCTAAATCTCATCTTCTACCCTAGAAAACACTTACAGCAAAACCTAACAGTTCTCACTTTAGAAAATAGGATAACCAAATTGCGATCTTTTATGAAAGACTGATTTTTATTTTTTTTTTTGTTTTTTTAATATACATCTCTTACCAACACTCAGATATGTAGATCAATAAAGAAATCCAATATATATGTTCAATCATACCAAAAATAGAAACTTCACAGCATAAAAACACAAACTGTCCAATCAACATTTCCCGTTCCATAAACAAGTAAAGCATAGTTTGCCAAACTATCAAGAACAATCCTATCTGAATGCTTGACTTATTATGTCTATAATACCACACCATGAAGCTGTTTCAACTGTTCTCTAGATATTAATTCTTACTTTAAACCGTCACATGTTACGAGTTAAGATTTGTGTCAACCACAATTCTTTCAACTGGTTGTCTCGATTTATAGAACTTCCAGAGAACCAAGGATCCCTAATCTCTGGAAAAATGCCTGCAAAACATAGTCATTGGGACTACATTGGTCTAACGACACAATCATGAGTATGTTATTCCTTCAAAACCGAATTCAAAAACCCTTCATTCTTAAGCATGCTGATCGAGGTATGCGAGGCATATTAGATCAAATTTGATGAATTGAATTCTAGAATCAGCATATGGAAAACAATGCAAAAAAGCAATCTACCAAATACACGCCATGAGTAACGAAACAACAATTCAGAAAGCCATAAACTCCGTAAACTTATTGCTAATGAAGCTATTTGGCGATCAACTCTAGGGAACTTCAACAGTGCCCCAATTTTTTCGCTAAGAAAAATTTCATCTTTTACTCTAGAAAACACTAATAACAGCAAAATCTAACTGTTTTCACTTCAGAAAAAAGGATAAACAAAATGCAATCCTATATATCAAATAAACATTTCTGTTTCTCTTACCCATTTGTTAGAACTCAGATAATCTATCGATAATGAATCTTCACGAACACAAAACTGTATATTCAAAATTTTCTGTTCCATAAACCCGGAGGCGGACACATGATTATTGAAACAATCTGAATTACGCCAAAATAAAACACAAATAGAACTAAAACTGAATTTTAAAAAATGAAATTTCCCAGCACACAACTGTCCATTCAATATTTCCTGTTCCAAAAACACAGGCGGACGTATTGAATATTGAAACCATCTAAATTACGCCAAAATAACATGCAAAAAGAACCTAAACTGAATGTCAATTATAATGACGTGAAGAAAAAGTAAGAAAGGAAACATCAATATACCTGGATGCTGAAGTCGCCATCAAGCGAAACGTTGTGGGACTGTTCGGGGAGGAAATCTCCGGTGACGGCACCGAGCATCATCTGCCGCTCTGTACGGTCGAGATCGGAGGCCAGAGCCGCCAAATCGAATTCCGAGAAGAATGGACCCTGCAATACAGTATTCACGCAGTGCACCGCGCATAATTTCGACTCTTGTACCTCGTGGT